CCCCAAAACCCCAAAACCCCAAAACCCCAAAACCCCAAAACCCCAAAACCCCAGGAGCATCCTCATCAATTGAAATATGAAGAGGAATATGAAATTCTTCAAGAAATCTCGAAAATCTGGTCTATCTATACCTTCACAAGAAGTATTGAAAATTTTACAATAATTGTTGAGTGTATGATTGTTGGCACCATAAAAAGCTCTGGTGCAATGCCTCCTGAGAGGACCTAATGGATTTAGTCTAAACCTTCTAGTAATAACTCCTGGTTCTTCTCGATGTTGTCTATGACTACTCTGTCAAATTTTAGTATATCATATAATACTTGCCACATTGGCAAGATAATGTTCTTGCAAAACCCAGCCTGGCTCTTCTTAAAAGCTTCAGCACCTGTGTACTTGAGGAAGGCCAAGGGTTGACCATACTTCTCTTGGTCCAGCTTTTCCTCTGCACAGTACTGGTCATGAAACTCTTGTGCAATTCTCATACCCCATTTAAACGAATGGTCATAGTCTAGGATGAGGCCATTAAGATCACAAGCATGGACTATCATTGCTGCTAAAAAGGTTCTCTCCTCTTGAGTTGGGGTATAAGTTTCATTTTCCTTGAATTTCTCTCCAATAGCCTTGAGTTTCTCCACCAAAGTGCCATGCTTGGACATGTCTGTTCATAAAATCCCTTCAGCAATAGCTTGGGAGACAGAGTCGGCTTTTTCCTTTGGTAAAATATCCATGCAATGTAGCATAATTTTCAGATGCATGTTCTCAAGCACGCTATTTTTGTTATCTGTTCCAAGCTCTTCAAGGACATGGCTGGACATGCCCTCCTCACTGATGGTGGTCACGGAGTCATCGTCCGTAAATTTTGATCATAAGATAAGCAAATCATCTTTAGTTTTAAGAAGATACCCGTTGTTCATTCCAGGATGGTTAACATCATGACCGATGCACCCAAGTATGATGCCAAGGATATCATCTTTGGAAAAGAACTTGTAAGCGCCTTGTTTCTCATCAGATGGTCCCTCCTTTCCAATATTGCTAAGTATCCAATATGCCCCGTTTGTTAGAGAAAAAGCATGAGTGAAGTGGTGGTATGGGACACGTCTGTAATTGCTACAAATATTGACTAAGAACCCTCTCAATTTGTCCTCATAGATCTCTGAATTTAGTTCGAGCTGCTCGAATATTACTAAATAAATGATTATTTTCTATAGGAGTTTTATTTGAACAGCATTAATTTTCCGAATTTTCATAGTAAAGTCTACTGTTTGTTTTGTAAAAAATTTAACTGCCTAGGCAGTCAAAAAGTGAACAAATTCAATGACTCACTCATTATCCAGTCTATTAGCTGCCCTCTTGTGTACCTAGAGATGGATTAGGATATCACAAAATTACTTGTAAGCCTCAAAGTTATGATTCAGCAACTCCTTCGGATCGAAGTCACCTGGTTCGAGACCAGTGGAGTCTTTTGAATAGTCAGTACTTCTCAGATCTTCCTGAAGAATATCAATAATATCCCGCTCATGGCCTGAGTAAATTTTAGTTTCCTTTAAAGCATTTTCGAAGTCTCTGATATTCAGTAAATCTTCCTTTGAATGAGTTTCTAGAGAAAATGAGTTTCTAGCCAATCTTAAGAGAAGGGTTTTTGGTCAGCCTGAAAGACAGAGGAAACTGTATAAGCCAAAAATTAATTGATTTACCTTGATCAGCAATGTTTTCACCCTCTTTATCCATTTTTATTACTTAAATACGATTTTAACTTGGGGTTTTGGGGTTTTGGGGTTTTGGGGTTTTGGGG